TGTAGTATGGTCTGTTATTGTGGTAGTGGGTTCCAGGTAGTTTGGCTTCATTTTCTGTTTCCAGGGAGAACGTGGCCAAGAGGGCTGTGCAAGTGTGCACCACCCCAGGAGTGTGCCCAGATGTGCGCATGTTTGCAGTAGGATTGTACTTAGCAAATTGTTTCTTAAGATTGCTAGTAGAGATAATAAAATCATGTGCTTCACATGGAACTACTGCTCCCAAACCATTGCCGAAGAATGATCTTTATTTTTGTTGTTGTTGTTAACCATGTAGTCGTCATCCCTGCTGGTCCTTTGCAGGAGTTACTGGATCTACTGGAGATCCAGCACTTGGCAATATTTTAATCGAAGAGCAATTGACTTGAAATGGCCCCAGATTGTTCATTTCATTTTCTCTTTTTTTTTCCCCTGCCAGTGAAAAAGTAAGCATTGTGGTCAACATCCAAGGCCTCAGTATACTATTTGGCAACATTTGCCTTCTCTTGACAGCTTGAATACTAAGATTGAGTATTAAAAGTGTGACCTGGCTGATGGAAGTAATTAAGAGACTTCTATCAGCCAGGAGTGAGTTTACTAACCTCATTTACTGTGGTAAACAGAAGAGACTTTCAATCTCCTGTCAAAAAGAGACCATCCGTGTATGCGTGCCCTTTCGTACTGGTAATGAATTAGTTACTGGAATGCTTTCTTGCTGGAATTCAGGCTGGAGCGAGGCAGGTGCTGGTTGCTGTCACATCACCCTGTGTCAGGCCGTGGTTGCCCGAGATGAGAAATGACAGTGGAGCAAGGAGCACGGCAAGAACAGGGAAGTGGCACGGCCTCCCAGGGGTCCTGCCCCTTCACTGGTGGGGCCACTCTTTACAAACCATCCTCAAGTGAGGCAGAGTGGGGCTGGATTTCAGTGGAGAGGGGAGAATGTGAGAAGATCAGACTGGGATCCAAGGTGTAAGAGGTCTAAGAGGAACTGGAATGTGCTGGGGAAAGATGCTGAGAGACAGTAGATGTGCAAGAATAAGTGGGACTAGCTGGAAAATGGGAACCTGAAGGTGGGAGAGTGGGTGTATTTCTGTGCCTGTGTCCCTGTTTTGCAGACACAATCTCATCAGGTATTGTAGAAATCATGTGTAGGAAACATTCAGCATGAGTGTTGCAGAGAATCTGTGATGGAGAAGAATTGTGCTGCTTCCCTTCCGGACTAGATGCAGGAAGAATGTGTGGGAGTCCCACAGTAATGGAAAGGAAAATTAAATGCCACTCACTAAAGCAGGACAGCGTGATGTGGCATTAGGGCTCTGTGAGCTTTTTGTGTAAACCTGCCTCAGAGAAATAAGATAAATTGTCATTTTCAAGCAAAATCCAGGCTACGCTGGGATCCCTGCAGTGGTAGAGCTTGTGCATGAAGAACTGCAAGGTGAGGATTTCACCTCTGGGGTTTTAGCGGTGCTAGTGTTAGCTATTCCTATCTTTGCCATCTGCCGCTGTGAAATGGCCCTTTGTCTCCTAACAATATCTCCCTTCTCCTCCTGCTTCTCTCTTTGGATACCAAATATGAAGCAGTGTCTCGTTCATTGTACAATCAGTAGCATCTCCCCCGAGAGGGCAGCCCCTGCAATATGGGTCACGTACTCCCTGTGCGTGCTGAACACCGTGCCTCTGTATCCTTGTTACAGTCTGGAAGCGTTCGTGGCAAAGTCAAACCTTGCCTCTGGGATTGCAGAAAGCTTTTAGGGCAGATGTAACTTGGTGAGCACAGCCGGCACTGTTCAAGGCCCGCATGTAAGAGATACGTGAGAACCCTTAGAGCTGTTATGTCACCTGGGATTTTTGAGGACCAACATTCTCGAGCGTGAAGCACATCTCTTCCATCTTCCTGGCCATCCTTGTTCCAGAGAGCTCTGCTTTTTCTTATAGCAGGTGGACATTTGTGTGCATTTATATACGTCCATGAAATCTAAATGTCCAGTGACCAAGGACAGTACACCACCAGGTGGCAATGCAGTAAACCTGGGAACAAACACTGCCAGAGCAGCCAGACGCTCCTCACTTTAACGTGTGAAATTTTGGCCAGCAAAGCCTAGAGTGACAACCCCAGGAGCTCCTGTTTGGCCTAACTAAGCAGACGCAGTCTTGTGAGCAGTAGCAGGAGCCCCAGCATCAACTACTGAAACTCTCACTTCAGAGGTTTAACAATTAGCTTGTAATTAACTGAAGCAGCAATTGTCATGCTACAGTCATAATGTTTAGCACAAGGCTATAGGGCAACCTTTTTAAAACGTACCTTTCCTCAGTGAGTCATTACAGATACTGTTTGGAATGTGTGAGGATTTTCATTTGCTAAAGGAGTAGTTTTTGAGTTTGAAAAGGACAATTATCGTCCCCTAGTTGGCATTTGGTGTAATGCAATCCCTTAAACGGACCTAGTGAACTCTCTGGGAGCTGGGAGGTTTCATTAAGGAAGATACTCGGCCTGGATTTGCTGACTTCAACGAAGTTCAAGCACATCCTAAATTACTCTACCGATTACCATCATTGCTGTGTACCTTTATGGGCAGGCACCTGCTCAGCTCAGGGCTTGCATCCCTCCAAAGGAGAGAGGGGAGGACCAAGGGCAGTAAGTTAGGATGTTCATCTCTTGGGGCTTTCAGGAGTCCCACGTTCACAGGGCAAGCAGGGAGCCAGGGCACCCAGGACCTCTGCAAGCTGCTCAGTGTGCTCAGCACCTTCCGTAGCATCTCGATAGCTGTAGGTCTGCGTCTTGGAGACTGTGGGCTTTTTTTGCCTATAAAATTAGCTTTGTTAGGATACAGCAAACACGCAGCGTTCTCTGCAGCATCAGAGCCCTACTATCAGAAATGTGGCTGTGTCTTCTGCTCATGTGTTGGTATGTGCTTTGAAGGTCTAGAAGCACTGCTGCTTATAATTCCAGATAATTCTTCTCCAGTTCAGGTTGGAAGCAGGGAAATAAATAAACAAACCCCAAAACCGAAAACAACAACAACAAAAAAAACCCAAAACCAAACCCAGAACTTGTTGCCCTCCCAAAGTCCTTCCACCTGTGCAGACATGGACAAACCTTACAAAGCCATGTCTCCGTCCCTCCCCACCTCTTGCACGGAGCCGAGATCAGGTCTTGGCCCGGTTAGGTGACTGCGGCAGCCCTTGCCTTGGTGACGGCTGCTGTAATAGTTGATTCCCCAGACATGTAAAAGGATCTGGATTTAGCTTCCCTTTTTCAGATTGTAACTGCGCCTTCTCTGCAGGCATTGTCTAAAAATAAAGCAGGACATGATGGGTGATGAAATGAAGAATAGGCTGTGCAAAGTGGCCGCTTCCTTCTGTGTGTAATTCAAGGGCTGTTTCTGAGGGGACAGTGTCGCGCATCTGTCTCGGAGGATGGCAGTTCGTTCTCTATCCGGTATACAGAGAGGGGTCACGTTCCTGTTTCCATTTGAAGGGGGTCACAGGCTGTCCCATACCTCAGATGCTTGTTCGGCACGTTTCGGAAGGAAAGGGTGCAGTGCCCTTTATTTCACATACTGATAGCAGGAAGGCAGACAGCACACCTATGCAGCCGAATTTCCTGCCAGATTTCTTCAGTTTGAAGATATTTCAAATGCTCCTCGCCTCCCAGAGCTAAGTAGCAATCTGTGATACCTGTCGTTGTGTGTAGTACTGCTGCAGGACCGTTTCTTTTTTCCAAAGGTCCAAATCCCTACAACAGCAAGTTCCTGTCCTGCCACAAGACCCATGCTCCTCTGGAGATCCTGAGCTCTACCTAGGTTGTATGGACCAACACTGATATTGTCAGATTGTTGGGGCAGGAACCATTTATTTCCAGGAAGATGTGGGGAACGAAGAGCACGAAAGCCTCCTGATTCCTGACAAGTTTGGTCAGGCACTGCTGCAGTTGTGTAGTCTCATTGTAAAAGCATAAAGCATGGTACCTTGAACTTCCACTCCCTGGGTTTGTTAGTGGCTCTTAATTTTAGAGCTATGCAGCGAACCTACAGACTCTTAAGATACCAGCACTTTAGTGGTTTTGATAATGTTATAGTTGATTACTTCAGAGGGAGACAAAGGCTTCTTTTCCTTTTTTATGATTTGAATACATGATTAAGTTGAAGTCTGGGAGTACAAATCAACTTGGTTTGTTTAATTGGTGATATAACAGTGAAAATGCAAAATAAAGATATTCAAGTTAGGGTGTAATAAATGTTTCCTGTTTATTTGTCTGTGTCTGTTTACCCCATGGCTATTTTGTTTAAAATCCAAAATATTGTGTGTTTCCCGGTATGGGTCACAAAAGTAACCTTTGGGATAAGGAGCTAACAGCTCATCTAAATCAGTCTGCTCATGTATACCTGACCTCTTTGAGATATACTGATATGCTGAAAATTAAAAATAAAATTATTAGGTATTATTTTTGCTCACTCCAGCTGTATGCATGGAGAGGGGCTGTGTGATAAACTTTCCCTGTATGCTTTCCAACTGTTTAGTTATTTCCATCCTTCCCCAACTGACTATTTTTAAGGCTCTTTTTCACAGTGCCTATCAGGCCTCCAAGAGCCCCACTCCTGCCTGAAGCTGCCAAGTCAAAACCTTTTCATGTGGTTTTTTTCAACATACTCAAGTGCAACAATCTTATCTTGGCTTATCGCTCCTACCAGCTTTCATCCTTGCTCCCTCAAATGGAGAGCAAGAGGAAGCAGTTGCTGGGACACAGAGATAAAGGAGAATAGAAGCAGGACATTTCACTAGAATTTAATGCATATTAAAACAGGGGATTAATGCATTTTCATTTTCACATTGCTCTGTATGGGCATCTTACTGTACCTCTGGTGAAGTGAAGTGACCTTTAAACTTCTCCGGAGTGGCTTGGGGAGAGAGCTCCGAGCACTTCTCTGAGTTGAAAGAGCCGAGTACTACAATATGTATCTGATGTTAGCGCAAGGCTGATTTTTTTTTTTTTTAACTGAAACTCTGTTTCTCCTTTTCTGCAGGGATTCCTGAAGAATGAAAAAGATAATGCATTGCTGTCAGCCATTGAAGACTCTAGAAAGAGGGTAAGTTGGAAGCAAGCGCCGTTTTAAAAAAAAAAAAAGGGGGGGCTAAGGAATTAATAAATTGCATATTGAATAAATTAGTGGAATTTAAGAGGACTGTATTGAGAATGTAGAAAAACTGGACGTCAGGAAATACTTGCTTAGAATTTCCAGAAGAAATACTTGTCAGTTGTATTTCAGCTGCAGTATTTTGCAGGGTCAGTGTTAAATCTGTTTGAACGGAGCAGCTGTTGTTTGTAAGGCAAAGCACACTTGCTCCGACCCTCTCTGCGTGGATGCTGCCTTCTCTAGAGATGAAAATGGTAGGATATGGGCTTTATTTCCTTTGAGAAATGCTGTGTGCACTGACTTTCCCGTACAGTGGTGATGCTCAATTAATTTATTGTAGCCGTTTCTCCAGGAGGTTACAGGAGTTGAAGTACACGCGACCACGTTCAGACCTATGCAGCAGAGGTGCTGTAAGGTTTATTCTTGTGTCTCTAGAAAAGCCAGAACATGATACTGCATCACACTGTCCAAAGCAAATCTCTTGTATAGGAAAAAAAAAAAAAGTTTTTAAAGCAGTGCAAAAGAAAATGCTGTAAGAAAGCAGGAGCTGTCGCTTAGGCAGAGGGATTGCCAAGTCTAGTTTTCCACCCTCGGAAGGGACCAGTACTTGGTCTGTAAGAAAAAAAGATAGAGGTAGTTAGCCTTCCCCTGTTCATCTCCTGTTTCTTTGCTTCCAAGCAAGTAGTTGTTTTAATGATTTTCTGAACTGGCAGAAAGTTTGTTTTCTTATGTGAAATTCATCTGATCCTGTTTTTGAATCTATTTATGCTTCTGGTATCTGTCATGTTCTGGGGCAATGATTTCCACAATTGAATTATGCAGTGTGGGAAAAATGCTTCCTGTTGTTTGTCTAAAACTGCTGCTTGGAAATGTCATTGTTTGCTTCCTAGTGCTTATGGCTCGATTGTTTACCTCCATGTACACTCGAGGCATCAGGTTTAGAACTAAGCCAGTGTTTCTTTCAAATGATAAGAAGTAGTACCTAAGCATTATTAAATCATTTTAATTACATATAGTTATGCTGTAATTATTGAAGCATATTTAAAACCCAGTTGAACTGATTGTAGCGAAGGTAAGGATAAGAGCTGTATTCTACCACGAAAGTATAAAGTGAATTTATATAATAAGCCAAAGATACAGAACTCTTATGCTCTAGTTGCGTGCATGCACCATAATTAAATATTTGCCAAATGTCACCGCCTCTTATAACTTCATTTATACTGGGGAACATTTTGCCCCTTTAATTGACAATATCCTAACAGTGGACTGTAATGAGGTGAAAAACTTACTCAGCCAACCAAGATACTTAGCTTTGTGCTGCAGTGTACATAACTATGTGAAAGACAGAGAAGGTTGGGAAAGGGAAAGAAGTGGTAGATCCAATATAGCTTATTCTTTATTTAGAATTAGTGGGTATATTCTTATTTACTGTCCCAGTATACCCAAGGCTGCTAGTTAGTATCACCCCAACAATAACAGGAAAGGTAGTGAAGCATCTTATCTATCCTAATGCTATTGCCAGAATAATGAATATCTAAGGGAAAAGCTGTTTCCTTCCGTGAGTTCCCCAACTGGATCTGAAGGCAATGTAGCTCATCAGCCATTTTAAAGGTAAAAAGGTGTTTTTTCTTGGGATACGGTTTTCCTACATGCTTTCCTGAGTTGCGTTCCTGATGAGAGAGACTGTCTGACTCTGGCGCTGGTTAATTTTCCTTAGTGGTTTATTTTAATTTTATCCTATTTCCCATTTAAAAGAAAAAGATACTGGTAAAGACCTGAAAATGAATTATAGGCACTAAACACACGTCTCGCGTAAGAACGCAGCAAGTCAAACCTTTATAGCCTCTAGAGAGGTGAAAAGCTAGTTGCTATTAGAGAAGTTAATCTCAACAAACCACATGGATGAGTGGTGACACGGATATTGTGTCCATGCTGCTAAATTAAAGAAGCCTATCAATTTCCAGCCTGCTAAGTTTTGTGTGTATTGCAGAGACACAGGTTCCCCGTTTTATCGGCTGGTGGTATGTGAGAGTTGTCTTAGTTCCACACTTCTTTCTGAATCCCCTTGTTACCTGAACAGCAAACCTATTAAAATAATACGCAGCACATCGTTAGCTCTTGAGGGCTGACCTGGTTGATTTATCTAGTTGCTATTTTCTGTTTCATTTTTGAGTTGTTCTATTAATAGCTGAGCTATGCTCTTTGGTGTTTCTGTATGTTCCTTAGCTCTTGTTGTTCTTTGCCAACAGACTTTTGCTATGGCTGAGGAGTATCACCGAGAATCAATGCTGGTTGAGTGGGAACAGGTGAAACAAAGGATCCTTCATACCCTGCTTGCATCAGGGGAAGACGCTCTCGATTTCACCCAGGAAAATGAGGTAACTCTGTCTTTAGTTTCTAAACGCTGTGCACAGTCACGCACGGCATGTATGCAGCTAGTGCTCCAGCACTGCTGAAACCACCTCTGGACTATTCTAGCTACAACTGCGTGAAAATGAGAAATATCAAATCTCTATTTAATTCCAGAACCGCTGTGACTAGCAGAATGCATTGTCTAGCAAAGTATCCAACCTTTTATGATTGTTTTTAGTGACTGATGGTACAGGCAGTGGAGCTTCTATTGCTGAAGCTATGTTTTAAGCAACGTACGTGCAAGCTGGAAATTTAAAGTCACACAAATGCGTATTACTTAATATGCATTATTACGCCCAGGGGAAAAAAAAACACATTGGGGTGAACTTCACGTGCAGGAAACCTTTGCAATGCAAATGAGACCAGACAGTTTCTCGGGTGTAACAACGTGCACACATAGATCTTAGTGTGTCTCTGTCACTTATCACTGTGTCCTAGCCAGGACTGATGGCTTTTCTTAGGAGGCTGATGAAGTCTCTCAAGTTTCTTGGCAAAACCAAATGAATATTCAACAAAAAAAAAGAGTATGCTTCCCTTCTTACCTTGCTGTCTTACGCAGTGCAGATTAAAATTTTGTGCTGCCAAGACCTCTAGTGTTCAGCAATTCAAGTGACCAAATCCTTGGGGCAAGACGGACCCTGTGTTCAATGTAAAAAGGTATTGACTAGCCACTTAAACACTCCTTACCTTCTGTTACAACTTAAAACTTTACAGTTTATTAAAGAAACGTGGTACCTGAGTAAAGTGAAGCACGGTTAGGTGCAGACTTGTAGGAACTCCACCCTTCTGACCTAGAGGCACTGGACGTTGGCCGAGATCCCTGGAGCGCAAACTTATATCGCAGCCCCTGCACCATGTTGTGTGAAAACTGTAACCTTGAGAGGAGAGGCGAGAGGGCGTGGGGGAATGCAGGTTGCTGTGCTTCCAGGCCAGAAAACAGGCACAGGTTTTTATAGGCGTGTTCTTCCCCCACCCCCGTTTTTTTCGGCTTTTGTTTTAAATAAATTCTTGTTCACTGGAGTGACTTGTACAGCTGCAAAGTGCATTAAAATAAAAAAAACTTCTTGGTGTTAATGGGATATGACCTGTATAGGGATTTGGAAATAATTAAAGTTGTTAATGAAACATCCCTTTCTGATTACTCTTCTTTTAAATATAGGTTAATCCCAGTTAGCATCTTTTTATAGAAGCGATCTTCCCCAGAAAGTATTTTACTGATATTTTACTGTGACTTCTCAGAAGGTTGTCCAGCTTTCCAATATTAGAAATGCTAAATAATGCAGGCTGAATTCATTTAAAACTAGGAACAGCTATGCCATTATTTTAGGATTTGCGTCTGAAGACTTGGCAGCTATTCTGATAACTTCTAACATCCTTGATTCGTGTGTGAGTTACTGGTGTGGGATTTTCCTTCCGACGTGTGGATATTGACTGCTAGGAGAAGCAATTTAATAACCTAATCTAAAAAGGTAACACCCCTTCTCTGATGTTTCAGTGTCAAATGGACACTATCCCCAGTCCATGGCACTCGAGATGCCAAGCATCAAACTGGTGCTGGTGGGGAACATGTAATTTTTTTTTCATGAATGAGTTTAAAGACTCAATGTACACTATCACTCAGTAATACTCTCGTTTCAAAGCTCTCATAGCATCTGTATGTAATTTCAAGAGCATTTCAAATCCTTGATATATTCTAGTCTTAGCCTCAAGAAGTCAAAGGTCTGAGAGGTTTGAAGTGCATCTACTGTGTTAAAAGCCTGTTATCTAACCTTCCCACAGCAGGTTTTTCTTCTAAAGCCTTGTTCCAGTCAAATAAGTTTTTTGTGTGTGTGTGACACAAACAGACGCAGCCTGTAGAATATAGTAGAGGTTTAATTGATATCCTCTGGAGATGGAGAATCAACTGAAAAGGCACAGATCCAAACGCAGCAGGGGGCTAGTCTGCCTGTGAGCCAATTCTCAAGCTTTGGGCAAGCTAATTTGGGCAGAATGAAATACCAACACGTTATTCATGGAAATAAGACCAATTAACAAGCAAAGCTCATGATTCAAAGAAGCTAGTGCAGGACTTGGCATTAGGGTTTTCTGCTCCCTCTTGTCCTCCAGTCTGGCCTTCCTCCTGTAGGGGAAAAACAGAGCTAATAAAAAAAAAAAAAAGGTGCTTCTTGCGGGGAAAAGGGAGGAAAGCCCAGGTTTTGTTTTCAAGGTATCAAACACTTAAGGTCGCAAGGTGTTTGTTCCAAGTCTTGTTCCACTAGGTGCAGAGGCATTTCTCTTGTCCTTGTATTCCAGGTTTTTCTTTCATCCACTCCTGCTGTCAAGCAACCCGCTCCTGCAGTGATGGAGAGATGCTGTCGCTCTTGGTTTGTTCTGCCTCTCTGTATCATGTCTTCATATCCCTTAAATCCCACGGACTGCAAGCTGCTTTCCACTCCCCCATTGCACTGCAATACATTTTGACAGTGTTTCTTCAGCTCAGTCTCCTGCCTAGTTATTCACCGCATTTACTGGCCAAGCCATTTGGAGTGCTGACAAAATGTCTGCCCAGACTTCTGCTGAGGAATGTGCATATGCATATGAGGGTGATGAATAATGCATCTTTATATGCACGAGGTTTGGTGTGCAAGTGAAGCTGAATGCTCCACTGAGTACAAATGAAGGAGAACTCCTTTGAAAAGCAGCATCGTTAGGCCAAATGAATTCAAAGATAAAAATGTGACGGCAGTGCAGTATAGCTGCCACTTTCACGAATGGATAACATTGAGAATAAATATTACAGTTCTGAAGAATGTTTTGGAAAGACCTAAATTCAGTGCAGGTAGAAGCAAATGTGGTTGATGAAAACAGCACAAGCTGTTTAAGTGCTATCAGACTAGGGATGCAGAAAGATGTATGTGTGTGTCTGCACTTGCACTTCTGCAGTCCTTTATGCATTACCCACCTTTCTGGTTTTCCTTTTGCTGCTCCAGTTAAGCTTAAGAACCTGACCTGAAAGATGATTCTTCTCATAGGCACCTAGCTGCTGTTTTTAACACATCTTTCATAATCTTTTCCTTGCTTGAAAACTTGGTAAGTTCTGACTTGCCACTGAAGGATATCCTCCCCCTTCCCCAAATCCCCCCCTTAGCTTGTAGGGGATGCCTTTTCAAATGCTGGTTACCAGCTACACAAGGATTGCCCATGCAACTCTCCATTTCTGCAGTTCAGGGTGAAGAGGGGAAACGGCCTTCCCTGTGCTGACTCACTGCTTTAGTTTTCCTTTTGAAATTTCCTTTTAGCACAGCCATGAGAGAGTTCAGTGAGCTAGTGCTTTTTTAAAGTTTAATAATTCAAAGAAGGAAGCCAGAATGCAAGTATGAGATGGAAAAAAATAGTAAATAATCTTGCTCCCATGGTTCTTGGCATAGGAAAGAAAAGCAAGACAAATTCTGGAGTTCCTGAGTTTTTTCCTTGCTGAAGCGTCAAGTGGGTGTTTAAAGAATTTAATTTCAGTGTGGCAGTTCTCAGCTGTGGCAGACTATTAATAAGTGATCCTCAAAACATAATAGTGAGGGTAAGGTTAAAATTGGAGAAAGTAAAGAGCGGGGGGGAAGCCCAAACCCTTATTTCTTAGTTTCAGGCATCCACTTTTGAATTCAGATCCTTACCTGTGGGTTTTAACCCATCAGTCGTACACTGGCGCTCTGGAGCGGCAGCCACGTGGATGCTCTTTGGTGCTGCCAAGCAAGAGAGAAGGGAACCAGATTCACAAAACAAAGCCCCAGTCCTTATGTTTCTGGTGTTTGCCACCAGTTGAAAAATGGCACTAAGTTACAATGTACCCTTCTTCACTTGCTTTAGAAGATGGAACCTTATCAGTAATTAATGACAATGTCCATAATTTAGCGTTACTTTAAATAACTCTGCAATTTATCTGGCACAGTATAGGGGAAGGCTGCAAAGCACTATTTCTGCCATCATGTCTGTTTCCCAGGAAACCTACTTTAACAGCTTCTTTGTTCTTTAGAACAAAGAATTTGTTGGGTTTTAGGTAGGTTTAAGGGAATTTGTGTCAGATGATTTGGCACTGAAAGAAAAATGCAAATGCTTCTGCATATCAGCATCCATTAGGAGTGACTGTGAAGAGTATTTTTAGTCTAAGTTCAGCTGCAAAAAGAAAAAGTTGAATTTCTTCTGGGTTTTTCGTAAGACATTTTTATACTGCCTAAGGTCTAAATACATCCACCTGATTTTTATAATCAGGTTGGACATAATTTGAATTGCACTATTACTGAGATATTAATGCAGTGATAAACTAATTCCAGGCTCATCTTTGATACCTTAATTCATTTATATTTCACTATGTCAGGGACAAACACAACCAAGTATTGTTTATTCTGTAATCAACCATTGTATGCTACGCAGAAAGCAAGTAACCACAAAGTTATAGTTTTTCAATAGAGGTCAATGCCCTTGTCTTCACATATAAATTCCTAGTTAAGTCAGAACAGCTTCTTGGCTGCTGCAATTGTGTCGCTTTATTGGTCTTTAAATTGACAATTGCAAAAATTTCCCTGATCAAAACTCCTGGACTAGGACAGCGAATGGCCATTGTCTTTGCAAGAACATATGCTCATGAGTGTAAGGGAGGTCCTACACAATAGAAGATAGCCTGGGTTAAACTGATATAAAATTAAAATTATAAGCATTTGAGAATGACTGAGAGACTGTTCAGTGCATAGGCTGATCAGTAATGTGTCTGGAAGTTCATGTGTTTATAGCTATTTAATTTCAAAGTCGGGATACTGTTCCCAAGAAAGTGAGATTCTTTTGAAGACCGTGTCAGCATTTCATCCTCATTTGAAACAAGAAACTGAATGATGACACCATCTGGAGAAAAGCTACCCGTTTCTCTGATCTTTTCCTAAAATCCATGCAAGCCAGATCATGGCAGGAACGTTGGTGCTGCCGTGCTGTGGCCTGGCAGATGTTGTCAAAGCTGAATGCTAAAGGCGATTAAACTGAGAGTGAAAACCATGTCTTTTCCATTGCATTTGGGCTTTGTTTGTCTGTTTGTCAGCAGCAAGCTGGTCACATTTAACTGAACTCTTCCAGGAAAGACTAGAACATGTCCTTAAGCGATACTTGAAGGTGATCCTATCTACACAATAAAGTACTGATATTCTGGGTAACTGATGTAAGAAAAAGTAAAGCTATTTGACAGTATTGCTAAAGTGCAGTATAACAGCTAATGGGGATGTGCAGCTAACTGAGAGCAACTTTGATAGCAAAAAGCTTAATTTTAAAACTCTGCAGATGTACCTGCTCTTTCCTGGAAAAAGTTACTGATTCCAGTTTAGAGGAATATCGATGGACTTGAATTATATGGTAACAAACCAAGGCACAGCAACCCCCCTTCTCAGTGTTTGCTCAACTGCTTTTAGTGTTTAGCTTATGTGTTTTGCATCTTCTCTCCTGGAAATAAACAGTCATCTTAGATCTTCATAACTGTACCTAAACTAGACACCTGAAGTAAGCTGAGCAAGGTTTGTGCGGAGAGGTGACATCCTGTTATCAGACCAACCACACCTGAGAGAGTCAAATGAGCTTTTAGGTTCAAAGCCTGAAATTCAAAGGCTGTTGCTTCAGTTTCAGACCTGAAAACATACTTGCTTTTCTGAAAGCTTGTCTGTTCCTCTTTGCTTGCCCCAACTATGTCAGTTGGCTTCATAAGAAATATTATGCATCTGTACTGAGCTTGTCTTACTTTTATCTTCAGTCCATTGTGGCTGTAGCACTGCTTATGAAGCAGCTGATGTTGAAGGACTGCTTACCTCAAAGGGATCTGTCTTTAAAATGACTGCACTTTATTTTTCAAACCCAAGACTTGCAATGCAGATGCTGAAATGAAAAATTACTTTTTTACGAAGCAGGAAATGGCAGAGAATATTCCATACTTAATTAGGAGTTATTTCCTCCAGAGTGGTGAACACCCATGTTCAGTGGTGGCTATACCGAAAACATAACTGTGATTTGTAGTGAACACCTACAAGAGTAGCTTTGTCCAGCATTAGGCTATTATGGCATGTTATATTTTGAGTTTTATTTTCCATGCCATGACTCCATCAGCTGTCCCTGCTCTACATTGAAAACATTTCAATCCTGGCATAGTCTCTGTGGGTGTAAAGATGACTTTTTTTCAGGTCAGCATATTTCCAGCATCCTCCTTCCTCCTGCAGCTGACCAGCAGTGGGGCACTTTTCAGCACGCAGTTGAATGCTGCAGTCCTATTTTGTCTGTGTCATGGTACGGGGACAAAACTGGAGTGTCAGACTTGCTAGACATTTGAGCTGGTCCATTGAAGTCTGTGTTCTTACTGTGATGGAGGTTCAGACTGGATGCTTTGCAGCAAGACACTAACGTGACAATAAGCAACCTTCCAAGAAACAAAAGGAAGGAATTAGAATTATAAGATGCTATCGAGAGAGGCCGATGTCCTCATTTTAGAGAGCTAATGGTTGGTTTGTGCATTGAATAAAGAGGATTTCTGTCACTTCAGGAAGTTTAAGCTCTATTGGGAAGATAATGAGGTATTGCAGTGAGACTATGCATTTTGCTCTGTAGATAGTTCAAGATCCTGTTCTTCTCTCAGGAACATGGTTTTGCTGTTCTTTTTCAGGAGTAGATATATTGGTAAAATACACTGAAGTAATTTTATACCTTATACCTTCTTATATGCTTCTCATTAAACAGCCTAGCTATGTTGGTGAGTTGGGTCCTCCAGGTCGCAGCTCTCTGGACAACATGGAGATGGCGTATGCTCGTCAGGTGAGTGGAAACAAAAAAACATTGTTTTCTACACAGAGAGAGAGAGAGAGATGTGGAGGATAAAGATCTGTGAGCATAGCGTGGAAGAAGATATGATAGGTAAAACATGAAAATATCTGCCTGGAGTTAAAATGCAATTGGAAAACACAGAAATTCAACCTGACTTCTTAGAAGTCTACTCACCTTTCTGCCACAGTTTTTTTTTTTTTTTTTTTTTTATCAAAAGGAGATCCTGAACGCCATATATGACTGTAGAAATCATTTATGCTCGTAAAGTAAACTGAAACTCTTTTAACTTTTCACAAAAAAAAATTTTTAGAATTTGTGTCAATGCATAATTGTACGCAAATGAAGATTTTATATTCCCTTTATTCTCACATGTAGAAGATCGCTTTTCGGATGTGTGCGTGTAGGAGAAAACATGCTGAAGTCTTAATCCTGATGCTAAATTATGTCCCATTTTAATGCCATCATTTATGAGAAGCCTTTATGTATCAGCTGTGAATTAACATGCCTGATAGTGTTAGACTCCCTCTGAAAATTCTCAGGGAAAACTGATAAACCTTTACATAACCAATTTGTTACTTTTGTTATTCGAGGTGATCTGTTTACCAGCACTGTTGGAAACAAAATGAAAGAGAAGGACTTGATTTTTCAAAGTGGAAAATGTAAAACAACGTAGACAAAGCGTTGCCTAATTTGCACACAATTACTGTTGTGGTGCGGATTGGCCTAATCTTGGCAGAGCCAGATAGCAGTGCGTACGTCTGTTTTGCGCTGTCTGCGTTCAGTTACAGTAACTGTGAATCACAGATTCGTTAAGGTTGGAAAAGACCTTTAAGATCATCAAGACCAGCCATCAACCCAACACCACCAAGCCCACTAAACTGTGTTCTGAAGTGCCGTGTCCACAAGTTTTTTGAACACTTCCAGTGATGGCGACTCCACCACCTCCCTGGGCAGCCTGTGCCAATGTTTGACCACTCTCTCAGTAAAGAAATTTTTCCTTGCATCTAGTCTAAACCTCCTCTGGCGCAACTTGAGGCCATTTTCTCTCGTCCTGTCGCTGGTTACTGGGGAGAAGAGGCCAACACCCACCTCACCACAGTCCCCTTTCAGGTAGCTGTAGAGAGCGATGAGGTCTCCCCTCAGCCTCCTCTTCTCCAGACTGAACACCCCCAGTTCCCTCAGCCGCTCCTCAAAGGACTTGTGGTCTAGACCCTTCACCAGCTTCATTGCACTTCTTTGGACACCCTTCAGCACCTCAGCATCCTCCTTGTAGTGAGGGGCCCAAAACTGAACACAGGATTGGAGATGTGGCATTACCAGAAGAAATGAATCACAAAATAAGGTGCATGGTTGTGCTGATAGTGTCCATTTGTTTTAGTGGTTGTTAACATATGTTAGTTTGTTCCATCTCTACTGCAATACTCTGTATTAAGGGTCTTCCTTGTGGCATAATTATATCCGTACTTGAGGTTGACAGTGGTGTTCCCTAATGTTTTATGGGTATGGAAGGCTCAACCTCTCTAGCAGTGCTAGTACCAGGGCTAGCTGCAGAGCCGCAGTGTCTTCGCCGTGTGGTCCGGTGGGCTCTCATCAGGTTTACCAGCCATGTGCGCGCTTCTTGCGATGTGCCGTGGAAACATGGCGTTCGTGGTCCGGCTTCTGTCACCAAAACACTTGGTGCAGTGGTCGTGGCTCCTGGCAGGCCCTCTGAGGAAGCTGGCCTGGCTGAGCTGTCCTTAACATCGCCCTGCTTGAGCGCAAAAATATTTGGGTTTCAGCACTGGATGTGGGGCTCCTATGGATTTTGGTGGGTAGTTAGGAGTCCTGGAGATTGGACAGTCCATGCTGTTTCAGTTTATCAGCCGCCATGAAATGTGTTTTAATTACACTGAAATGATTAATTGTTCTTCATGTCTAGTTCAAACTGTTTCACAGAAACACAGTGAAATCCACGTGTGTGATTTCACTAATGCTAGATTTCTGGTTGCAATCCTGAGCTCCACATTTTGTTTGCACGCTGATGTATTAGATGTTGGAAGTAGTAGTGCATGCAAGAAAAAGGGACTTAAAGTACAATGGCACTGCCTTTCTAGTATTGAGAATTACTATTTTCAGAGGTAGCTGGAAAGTCCTTGGACTGAGAATATAATAAACAATAGTAGAAGAAACTAAATTAAGACCAAGATTTAAATCAAAATGGGTGTGTGCATGTTTAAGGGCATGTTTTGAAGGGCCAGGTTTCTGTTCTCGTTTCCTTGAATACTGCCACAAACCAGCAAAATTCTGTTTCTTTTAGGTCAGCAGGTAGGAGACTGCCATGCAGGGGAATATCACAGCCATCCAGTTGTCAGGTCTCTTCTGAATCGTTGTCCTCCAGCAATTAGCTGCAGATAGTCTAACAGCGCATTCAGTGCGGTGCTTCGCCGTGCAGAACCACTGAACAGCAGAACCACTGCCCTTTAGGCAGACCCAGGGCTTTGGTGTGTTGTGGAAGCGCAGTTGGTGCTGATGGCCGAGGTTCCTCTCGTGCTGGATTAGGAGCGGCTAACGTGGGAGGGAAGCAGAAGGGACTTGCTGGGGACGCTCTGTTCTTGAAGCCTGGTTCAGATTTTGCCGCTGCGGAGGGGGAGTAATACGTATTATTAAACTTGCTTATTTTCAATATGTTTCAGATTTATATTTATAATGAGAAGATAGTGAATGGACATCTGCAGCCTAACCTGGTGGACCTTTGCGCTGCTGTTGCAGAACTGGATGATAAGGTACTGCCAGTGAGTTAACATAAGGAAATGTATTTAATCTGTTTTCAGCTGTGATTAACAGCCTGCTGACATTGGTGGAAAAATACTGATGTTGCCAACAAAAATTGTGTGGCTCCACAGGAAACACAGAGCCAATACTGGAATCTTCTGTAGTACAGCAGGGCCCACCTGTGATGAACTTGGTCATGGTGAAAATTTCTTAACACGGTGAGGAAGAAAAGAACCTGCTTTCACTGCAGTGTACCACCATGAGTGATGAGCTGTTGAGGAAAAAAATACCTTTTCATTTTAAATGGGTTCTACTGTGTTTGGTTTTCAAAATGTGCCCCCCCCAATATCCTTTGAATGTATTTAGCCATAGGTAGAGGGCCTTCAATCAGACCCTGCTAGAGCTGAAGTAGGCTCCCATAGCAAAGCGTAAAGCCCCTAGGTTTGACTTTAAACCAATGATCTGACCTTTTCTTTAATTGCGTTGCCTTGATCCACCCCAAAAAAAACCAAGTGCACAAAACTGGCCACCTTTTAGAAATGCATGGAGGATAATACGGCAGGAGGGTCAAGTCACAAAAGAGCTTTGCAGATAGGGAGAGCAGAAAGCTGTTGAGAAGCTGAGGGGCAAATGCTTCAGTCAGATCTGAATTACAGATGTGCATCTTTGCTTTGACCAGCTCTATTCATTTTGCTCGGGACAACACGGTGGGTTTCAATGTTCTTGTTGCTTTGAGAGACTGAGACTGAACGCCTGCCCTTGCTGGAGCTAACAGTGCAGTTACTTCTCAGTATTTTGGTATTTCAGCAGGGATACTCTAGTCCTGTAGGTACTGATACCATCTCATTCTTATGGATGAGCAGACCTGGATGGCTTTCAATATTTTTTTTCAGACCTGAGTCTTTGTCCAAGTGATCGGTGTCCTTTAGACATTTCTCATCACAGCTCATTGCACAGCTTTCCAATGGCAGCCGGAGCAATTTCTTACATGGAAAGCTGATGTTGTATTTATTGAGTGGAATGTATAAGCTGGAAATAGGGAAGGAGGCTGAGCACCAAGTACCCAGCCTAGTTTTGGAAATCATTGTCAATCCTGGGTGACAACTGCAGGTACAATATTTATAGCCATCTTCTTGAGCAAGAATTATGCAGAGCAGCCTGGGAAATTTGAATTCTGCACGACAGAAGTGGCTTACCTTCATGCCTGCATCCAGTATCTCCATTACAAATCTAAACTGACATTACTCTTGTGTTTTTATGCTTTTCTTAAGCATCAAACCACCATGTAGCTCAAAACAGTCTTGCTTGTTCATCTCTGTGCTAACCACTGTTGCATGGAATGGCTTGCTTATAGAACATCTCTGAGATGTGGGCCATGGTGAAACAAATGACCGATGTTACCCTGGTTCCTGCTAGCGATGCCTTGAAAGTCCGGACCAACATGGAGGTGCGTATGGAGTTCGTGAGGCAGGCTCTGCGCTACCTAGAACAAAGGTAAGGTGAATGCTCTGGGTATCACAGTTTAATAAAATTCCCTAATAATAAGCCAGAATGACTTTCTGACAACCCTCCCAGTTGTGGAAATGGGGCCCTTCAGCCTTGATGATTTTTTTTTTTTTTTAAACTGTGCCTTGCTTTGTGGCTTTTCTTTCCTCCAGGAATTGGCTAATACTGGGGTGTTTTCATGCTTTGCCAGCTTTAGGGGGAGATGTAGTGCTCACAGCTATTCTTGCATTAGTTGCTTTGGAGCAACTGTGATCTTAAGCCCTGCGGACCATGTGCTTAACTCATCCATAATGTCAAGATACGCTCACACTTGCCTGTGTTTAGCATAGCCTTTCAGTTTTATAGTCTGGTGGTGCACGAGTCTATCATGTGCTGCAGAGAAAAAAGGAACTTCATGTAATTTATTGCTGCTGCTTATATAGGTATTCATTCCTTCAGTGTACAGACTTTTGAGACTTCTGCTTCTAAACATGAATATTTTTTAAATTGACCTGCCTTGATTAAGAGCTTTGGATTATTTTAGAAGGTGTTCTCAAAGCTGCCTTTACCAGTTGTTTTTCTCTAAATCCCCCTTTTCTCTGTAATTTCCTTCTGGTAAGTCCACGGCCCTCAAGTTTGCATTTGTCCATAGGGCAGCGAGGAGACACTAGCATGTCTGTGGTGTTTAACTGTTCTTTTGTGACAAGATTGAGAGTTAAAGTGTTAGGATGGAGAGGATTTTTGCCAGTTACTTAATTGAGTTTAACTTTGTACTTCAAGAACCTAATGAGAGAAACCTCATAACAGAGTTGAACCTGGAGCAGTACAGGCACAGACTCCAAACATGGTTTCTCTTGAGACTGCTGACTGCAAGGATCTCCCTAAATCTACAGACTTTTTTTGCCTCATTTTGTTGTAACGATAATGTTTGAACATCAAGGTAATTTGCTTTAAATGGCTAATTCGGTTGGTTCTGGAAGGCAGTGGATGTTTTTGTGGCAAGTATGTTTCAGTCTGTTCACGTTTGGTTTTTTGGTGGTGTTTTTCAGTTACAAAAACTACACCTTTGTGACAGTCTTCGGAAACTTGCACCAGGCTCAGCTGGGTGGAGTCCCAGGCACCTACCAACTAGTCCGCAGCTTCTTGAACATCAAACTCCCTGCGCCTGTCCCTGGTCTTCAGGTATGTCCATCACCGTCAGTGACTGAGCTAAAATAATAACACAAATCTGTTTGCTCCAACACAGCCAGGAAACTAGTGCAGTCTCCAGTGGTTTTTCTGTTGATTAAACTGCTTTTAGGGCAGCAGGCTCTTACTCCTTTTCTAGAATTTTTCAGTAGGAAAATGGAAGATAGACAAAATCACTTTGAGTTTAGAGATAGTCCCGAAGCATGATGGTGCTCAGTAGTTTGAGTTCTAAATTTGAGAAATTACGGTCTCTTCCAGTGGTCTCTTTTGAAACGAGCAAGCAAGTATTAGAGTACGTTCTGATGTTTCAAAAAAGCAGTAACTTAATCTCTCCATTTTGCTTTTTTTCTTTTGCTCTTAGGGTAAGGTGGTGACACAAGTTGTTGATGACTAAACATGTAATGAATTAATCCAAATTGTAGTCCAAGCCTTTTATTTAGGAATCTGAATAAAATCCTGCTCACCTGCATACGGTAGAAAGAGCACAGCTGTGCACCTACAAAATTACCAGATAAACAGGCAGGCTGGCTTGAAGAATTAAAGTAAAATTAAATAATAATAAATTCTAACATTGGAGACCACATAGCTGAGTCTAGTTGTCGTGTTCTTACCTGATGAGATCCATGATTAGTTTGGTATCTTTCTTTTTCAGTACAAATATTTTTAATACCTCAGTGGTCTAATCCAAATCTCCCCACCCAGGGGGTGGGATACCTGTGTGCTAGTTCTGGGATTCAGAACCTCACTCAGAACTGAAATCTGGGCAAGCAGAAGAGTCGCATCCTTTGCTGCTAGGATGAGCACAGCTTTCACAGGACTTAAACCTCATGACCTCTGTCTTCTGTAACACAAACAGGATTTTTTACCAAAATCGGTGTGTGGGTATAAGGGTAGAAATAATGAATGAGGCAAATGATAAAGAAAATTAATTCAAATATGCTGCTTTTAAAAAAAAAATAATTATTTCTTTCTTTATTTTCAGGATGGTGAGGTGGAAGGCCATCCTGTCTGGGCACTGATTTACTACTGCATGCGCTGTGGAGATTTGACTGCAGCCATGCATGTGGTGAAACGGGCACAGCACCAACTGGGAGAGTTTAAAACCTGGTTCCAGGAGTACATGCACAGTAAAGATAAAAGGTAATTGGGAGATAAGAAAGATCTTTGAGGGGTGGGAATTGTTGTGGAGTAGTGGAATAATCAGTGACTTGGTAGAAATACAAGAAGCTCAGGTTTCTGGTGGTGGCGGCTGCCCAGCGTTTATATTACCTACCTAAATTACATGTAAGAAGTTTGCATATTTTAATTTGTGGCTTTGAAGTCTAGAAATCTCCATAGAGAGAGAGTTGTTTGAAAATATGCAAAAATTTACATTTAAAAAATAATAGTGGTGCAGTTTTACTTTTTTACTCTAGGATTTGCCCTGTGTAACAGTAGGATACTGCATACAACAGATGAGATTTAGTCCGCTGTCATGAATCCTGTGTCTTTTTATTTCCTCTGTCGCTTATTTTAGTTGAATTTCCTTTGGGGAATGCTTTTTACTATACCTGTTTTCTTAAGACTGCCACACAATAAAAGCAAGCAGTGTTTGTTTAGAGGCCTTCAGAGGTGTTCACTCTTGCATCTTTCTTGTGCTTATTCTCCTCTTCCAGGCTTTTGCTGTCTGTCACTTGACAGAGGCCACTGGCCAAACTACTGATTATGTAGTTGCAAGCAGCTGAGTTAGTGCATCTTAAGGTGTGCTCTGAACTCTGCTGTGGTGTTTTAGGTTATTTTGTTTATCTTTCCACTGGCAATGAATTTCAAACAAGCGCACAGTTAGCTCTTGCGTTATAGCTGTGCTCCCTTCAGGGGAACGCACTGTGCTAAGGTACTGGCTGAAATTGGGGTAAACCGGAGGGCCCAGGTAAGTGCCAGGATGTGAACTTGTAATATCCCACCTCAGCCTGTGACAATTTTATTCATGTGTGGGAAGCCCTCATCCTGCCAAATCTTGAGTGTATTTGGGCTCCTCAGTTATGAAAATGTGAGGAAGACCATATCAGTTTGCATGTCTTAAAAAAAAAAAAAAAAGGCAATACATACACACAAAACAAACTGAGAGGGGGAAAAAAGTGCCATTTACAGAGTAGTGTACACCATGTTATTCTTGTATAAATTGACCTGGTTTTGCTCAGTATAATAAGGTTGTTCCAGAAACCTTAGTGAAGGTACTGTCATTGTTTCATTACAAACATGTTAATGAGGTGCAGTATAATTGATTTTTTTATTACAACTGTGAAAAGGTACTCTGCCTACAGATTTGACAAACATCTTAGTCTAGAAGAACACTTTATTGATTCAATTCTGTAAAATTATTTACAAGAGGGTACAAGAAATAGAATGACAAAGAACATTATGACAGTATTTAATGATAAAAATGAAAGTGTCTCTCCTAAAAGACTTCATGGTACAATGACCTGCTCGCTTGTTACTTACTAAACCAAAGAGTTCTAAAGACTTTGTGAGCTCTTTTTTTCTGAAATGATGAAATAGCAGAGTCAGACAAAAATAGCTCATCCGCCACAATATTAATGCACCCCTAAAGAGACTGTCTGGTTTTTTTTCTGTAATGAGTATCGGAAGATGATCCTCCATAACTTTTAACTATACATTTAAATTCATGTGTGCAAAATTTTTACCTACAGATGTAAATAAAGTGCAAGAAATATCAACCAGTGCTTACTGTCATTATGCTTTTGCTGTGGATATGCACCTAGTGATGTTGATTTGTATCCAGGTTTCCTCATACAGGGAAAGATGGGTTTCATGTCTTTTTCCTCCAATCTTTTTTTTTCCTTAGACTGTCTCCTGCCACAGAAAATAAACTGCGTCTTCATTACAGGCGAGCTCTGAGAAATAATACTGACCCGTACAAAAGGGCTGTCTATTGTATTATTGGCCGTTGTGACATTACAGATAACCAGAGTGAAGTTGCTGATAAAACAGAAGATTATCTTTGGCTAAAAGTAAGTGTGGTGTTGGGGTTGCGGTGGTGGTGTTGGTTTTTCTTTTTTTAAGAACAGGTCTAAATGGTATTGCATTTTTGCAGTGCTCTGCTAACCTCCCTACTTCTAGGTCTTGTGTTTTGCACCAATGTAATGCATGGGACTTGACCTTGCAGATACTGAAGGGCTGGGAACCCGCGTCCCAGGGCTGCTCTGTTACCCTCGGTACTATCAGGTGTTAATTTGATGGGCTGGACAAATACAAAAGGACCCCGGGTTATATCTGCGTGCATTTCTTCTGTTGCTACGTTAGAGATCTTTGCTTCCCAGGATGGGACTATAAGTAGTTTCTAGACAGTTGGTCAAATCTTAGGAGGGGCTTCAGACGGAATGCATACCTTCTGAATGCATCGTTTGTGCAAGGTGAAGTTGAAATATCTGTGCTGCTTTTTTTGGATGTGTTTTTAGCTGAACCAAGTGTGTTTTGATGACAATGGTGCAAGTTCTCCACAAGACCGACTAACGTTATCACAGTTCCAGAAGCAGCTACTAGAAGATTATGGTAAGAACCCACAAAGAGATGTGTTACTTGAGGTTCTGCTTTTCTGCTTAGGGCACTTTCCAATTGTTATTACACAAACCCCAGACTCCACATAAAATTCTGCAGCTTTCCACTAGTGACAGGCATCTTCGGGGTGTTCATGGACAGCCTGCTTCCCTAGAGTAATGGCAGACTTCAGTAAGACATGATGAATGAGTCTTGTGCGTTTCCAGCAATCCAGAGAGTAAATACTCACCTGTGAACAACACTGCTGCTATTTGTCCTTTATCCATACTAAATTATGGATTGCTCTCTCTCACCAGAAGTGTGCTAAGGTCTTTTAGGAAAACTTCCAACTTTTGGAATAGAGAACAGAAAAGCAGTCATTACCTAATGTAGGCATGTATTTCCAAGGCTTTTCTCAGTGTGCATCCATTGTTTCCCTTAAATTACTATTTCAAGTAATTTTCTGTGGACCCAAATCACAGTTCCTTCCACTTCAGAAAACTTTCGCAATGTCCACAGCCCAAGAGAGTACCTTTTCCCATAATTGTCTTCCAGTCAATCAAAATTAGGTCACTTGAACTATGCAAAACATACAGAACTTGATTCTCCACAGCCTTCTAGTTTGTAGCATCACTGACACCCAGATAAAAATGTGTGGAAAAGAAATACAATAAGCTACTGTTGATGTCACTGAGTAGGAGAATCCCAAGTTTTTAAACATTATTTGTACCACTTGGCATAAGTATAAAGGAAGACAAAAAGTTGTGGTCTTTAGAGAATCTATTGCAGTCTATGAAGAGTTGGTGTTTTGTTGTCTGAAAAGAACAAAGGAACTTTTTTGAGTAACTGTTTATTCTCTTTCACTTCCTGAATACATTTTATGCTGTGGTCTTTTGTGATATATTGGCAGTGGAACAGTTCCAGATAAGCCGCTGATATGTGATTAGGTTTTGTATAGTTATATTAGTTTTGTATGGTGTGTTTATTTCCGTTGGCACTGATTAAGCAATAATGATGCAGTGTGACAGGGAGCATCCACTGTCAGTGATCTCTGGCTGCAAAATCATTTTCAGTTAAGCTCTGCATGTGTGGGTTTTTGTTTTTTGTTTTTTTTCAGGTGAATCACATTTTGCAGTGAACCAGCAGCCTTTCCTCTACTTCCAAGTATTGTTCTTGACAGCACAGTTTGAAGCTGCAATTGCTTTTCTCTTCCGGACAGAGCGTTTGCGTTGTCATGCTGTTCATGTTGCATTGGTCCTGTTTGAGTTAAAATTGCTCCTGAAATCTTCTGGGCAGAGTGCACAGCTATGTAAGTCCTGCACATAGTAAATGCGCAAAAAAGGAATATATTCTGAGCCCTTAGAGCACCCTTTAGACACTGTAGGTCTATGTAATTGGTCAAACAAGCAGCATTTATTAGAACAATCTCCTAAAAATTAATTGTTTTAGTTGCATTAGAGCTCTGGATCGTGGCTCTGACTAATTTGAGATGAAGATCAGAGCAATGTTTCCTGGCATTAGATTCACTGATAGCGTTGTTTCTGACACTGCAGTAAGCCATGAAGCTGGTGACCCTCCTGGTGTCAGGCGTCTAAATTTTGTGCGGCTTTTGATGCTTTACACACGTAAGTTTGAATCAACAGATCCAAGGGAAGCTCTTCAGTATTTTTACTTTCTCAGGTAGGAGCTAATATATGTCTCTATATTTTCTCCGAGTTACTACTGCTTAATTATTCTTACCTGGGAAGTCCTCAGAAACAGGACTACCTTCCTCCTTCCCTTTCTTTTGTAGGAATGAGAAGGACAGCCAAGGAGAGAATATGTTCTTGCGTTGCGTTAGTGAACTAGTAATTGAAAGCAGAGAGGTATGTTTGCCCATGTTTTGCCTTCCTCAATTAAACTGAAATTCATTTCTTCATTCAAATCTTTATTAGGCAGGACAGTCTTAAACAGTTGTTTACTCTTTCTGCCTGATGCAGACCTAGATGATGGGAGATCTCGCAACAACCATGTGTTTAAGCTATTCAATCACATCTTTTTGCCCGTTACTTATATACAAATAATTTTGACATTGGTCACTGTTTTTCATTCATCCATGACTGCATCTTTGTACTTACAACTAGTAAAAACATTGTGAAATATATGCAATTTATCTCTCTCTTTTTGTTTCGTTTTTTCCTTACTTTACATCTGTGTGGATATAGTTTGATATGATTCTTGGAAAGCTGGAAAATGATGGTAGTAGAAAGGTGAGTTGATATTTATATTTTACATTAAAAGTAGAAACTGTGTGATTTCCAAAGTAGTCATGAGGCTATCTTGCTTTACTTTATTTTTCACTAGCCAAATTATTACTGTGTTTGAACAGGTACAAGTTGTCCAAGTATTAGATTCTTTTACAGAATAATCTATGACCTGCCCTAACAGAAGGCAGGTCGGGAACCACAGGGCAAACTATGTCCCTGTAGACAGCCGATGTAACTAAAGAAACAAGTGGCATCGGGTAACTTCAGTGAGGTCAGAATTTCATCTTTATGGTAGGAAATGTAATTTAGTACATGTTAGTAAAAGTGGCTTGCTTGTAAGTGGGTGTGAGATTGTTCTGTTAACCGAGGTGTGCATGTGAAAACGATCTATGTGACGCTACTCTCATTCACCTCAGAGGAGGAATGTATTGCAGCCCATTAAAAATTCTTGTAATTAAGGGAGCAAGGGCTAACAGACCACAGGCATAGCCACAAGTGATCTGTCTTCTCCATATAGATGAGGGTAAGTATTCGATCAAAGATGAGCCATTTTTAGTTGTGATGCATCTTGCTCCTGCTGTAAGAGCAGTAATCTAAAAGTAAAATGCAAGCTTACACAGTCAGAAGATAAAGGAAACCTTAAGGTTTCACCTGAAAAGACGAGAGTGCATGCAAATGATTAAAATTTGAGATAATGAAGTCTTTCTGTTCGCTGCAGAAGCTTGGGCAGTTTTCTGTGTAAAGCAGACTCCAGAATTGTTTAAATCTTAATTTTAAGATTAGAGCTCATACTACAATCATTGCTGCTGAGACCAAAAAAAAAGAAAAAAGAAAGAAAAGAAGTTATTTCTGGCAGGATTTTCTTTTAGATGTTCTTGTTCTGTCAGTTTAAAAGCAGTGAGATAGCACACATGAGAGCAAGGTAACTCGGTAATCTTTACAAATATTTTTTCATTTTACAGTTTTTTGTAAGATAGATAGCTTTTAAATTATACCATTAGTGGTGAATCCTGTTTTACTGACTTTTACTCAATTACTTTTAAATGTAAGTGTATTCTTGTGTTTCTTTGGTGTGAAACAAGCAATCTTAGTTTTAAAATAAATTCTTCTAGATGTCATAGTTGTATTTTTACCTCCTCAACTACAGTAAAATCCATTCCAGATACCATTGACTCTTTCCTCTCTTTTATTCTACTTGTGTTTATTGTTTCTTTTAAAATTCTTGTCACCCTTTCATTTATCTGTGTAAGATTTCAGTTGCAACTTGTCATGGCAATATACACAAACAGCATCCCTGGAGACCTTGGCATGTCGTATGCTGAAGTCTTCTGTGTTTTCTTCTCCTCTGTAATGTGTCATCAGCAATTAAAATAATTTAAAATGTGACCTGTTATCTGGGTCATTTTGAATGACTTCGAAGACACAGATGTCTCAGTGCCGACTCTGTTTTGGAGAAAGTCTCTCTCACAAGAGCTCTTTCTATTTTTAACGTGTCCCTTTTGCACATTCCCATGGAAATGTACAGGCCATTCTAATCATAATCCAACATGTAAAATATTTATTGCCTTGACAGAATGTTCAGGAGTTATTAAGCATTCTGATTTCTCTCCTCTTTTCTCTCATTTTTGTTTCACCTCGTTAGCCTGGAGTGATAGACAAGTTTACAAGTGACACAAAACCCATTATTAACAAAGTGGCTTCTGCAGCAGAAAATAAAGGATTGTTCGAAGAAGCTGCAAAACTCTATGACCTTGCAAAGGTAAATATCTTCTATGTGCTGCCTTAAATATGTACCTGATTCATCATTTTTTTTCCAAACATTCTCCCTGTGATTAGGAGGTTAAATTTCATCTTGGAGATTGAATTGCCCTTATTCAAGCAGATTATTTCTGCTGCTGTTAAAGCAGAGCCATTGGCTGCATGGAGAGGGGTTTCAGTGAGCAAACCCAGATGGATTGCACTGCAACCAATTCTGATTTAAGACAGCTGGTTCTTGATTAAAGTGGTCTTTTGAAGAGATTGCCCCATGCATGATTTTATTCTGGCTAGGGAGTTTGCTCTTCCATTTTCATAGATGTTGAATTGAAGTCTAAAATAGTTGGGCTTTTTATAGTGAGTACTCTTGTTTCCTTTTGAAATATATTTGAAATAAAAGTGGATACAACCATAGCCACTGTTTTAGAGGAAAACTAGGGGAAAATACTCTTACACGTGAGCCAGCAGCATTATGTTGCTGTCCTGGTTTCAGCCAGGATAGAGTTAATTTTCTTTATAGAAGCTAGTGTGAGGCTATGTGTTGGATTTGGCATGAGAAAATGTTGATAATGTCCTGATGTTTTGAGTTGTTGCTGAGCAGTCAAGGACAGTCCAGCTTCTCCTGCTGGCCTGACAGCGAGCAGGCTGGGGGTGCATGGGAAGCTGGGAGGGGACACAGCCGGGACAGCTGGCCCAGGCTGGCCAAAGGGATATTCCATACCATACGACGTCATGCTCAGTATAGAAAGCTGGGACGAAGAAGGAGGAAGGGGTGGAGGGACGTTCGGAGTTACAGCGTCTGTCTTCCCAAGAAACCATTCCACGTGACGGAGCCCTGCTTCCCTGGAGATGGCTGAACCCCTGCCTGCCCATGGGGAGCAGTGAACCAGTCCCTTGTTTTGCTTTGCTTGTGTGTGCGGCTTTGCTTTACCTATTAAACTGTCTTTATCTCAAACCATGAGTTTCCTCCCTTTTACTCTTCTGATTCTCTCCCCCGTCCCACCATGGGGGAGTGAGCGAGCGGCTGCGTGGTGTGTAGTTGCCAGCTGGGGCTAAACCACGACAGTTGCTCATAGCTAATATGATCGTGAGTCTTTATGGGAGGGAGGCATCTCTGAGTTTGCATTAGGCACCACTGCATGAGACCTTTCTGCATTTGCAATGAGATCAAAACACTAAGTCCCATCGTGCTTTTTTTATTTGTGTGTAACTCTAATGCCAACAGAACCCTGACAAAGTTTTGGAACTGATGAACAAGCTCCTCAGTCCCGTCGTTCCCCAGATTGGCACTCCCCAGTCGAACAAAGAGCGGAAAAGAACATGGCCCATGCCATTGCTGAGAGGTAAGAAAAGAGGGAAGGACTAGGTGATTCACCTGGACCTGACCTGGGACTCTCAGTTCAGTGGGTGTTAGTTCCTGACTTTGTATCTTCTGGCTGGACTGTGGCATCCACAGCTGTGTATTCAGGAAGACAGAGAAGAGGTCAGAATTTACTCCGTCCTGTTCGTGATGGCTTGCAGTACTGAAACCAGATATGTAATCTTCAGGGGCAGGTCAGGTAAATTTGGCAAGAAGCTTTATCCGTAGGTGAATCAGGAAATTGAGGGAATTGCAGGATTGCCAACTGGAAAAAGGAGTCTATTAAGGAGCAATAAATATAATGAATTGTATGTCTTAGATTATTTTTAAAGCAAAATGTAACAGTTGCAGAATCATTGCATGCAACTTGCTTGTTTGAAATAGTATTGAGAGTGCGCTACAAAACCAGTAATTCTGCATTGTAACAGCAGAGCGGCGAGTTCAGTGCCTGCCTGAAAACTTTATTTCACTGCTGCTTTAATGAAAGCTAAAAAGGGAACATTTAAGCTGAGGTGTGTTTATGGCTAATGTAACTGGCGGACCTCATTTCCACAGCCCGTTACTTTAAGAAAGTGCCATGTGGTGTTTAGAAGAGAGAGAGAAATGGAAGTGACCGAAAGGAATGTCACCTGCAGTGTTGGTGTGCTAATTAGGATATGTATTTGAGAGACATCAGTGCTCAAGATTCATTAGCAGCTAGTAGTTAGGAGTAACCTGCTTCTGAAAGGTTGTTTTGATCCGTAAGAGCGCGCTAAATATTACTGTTCAATAATGCCACTTTACAGCCGCAAACCTTCATGATTGCAAAGCCAGAACACTTCTGATTAGTTCATCATCTTGCCAGTTAAATGTAATACAGGGCTTTTCTTTAGGTGCCGTACTGCAGGCAGTACTGTAGCGATGCAGCTTTCCTCCTGTGTGTTCTTGTGATGTTTTTGGGACAGGGGAGACGCTCAACAGAAATGGCCAAGAGGCTATCTGGCTTCCTCCTCTGCAGCAGCATGGTGTGTACCATGCACTTGACCACTCTTACTATTACCTTGAGGAAGGAGCTCCTTTCTGACCTTGTGCTGTTGGGAGCGAGAGCAGACAGCCCTTAAACTCATCTCCTAGCAAGCGTAGCTAGAGAGAGCATGCAGAAGCACCTAATCCATTTTAAAGTCTTAACTTCTTGCCTGAAGCAGCCAGTTGTGCTGGAGAATTGTCCGCTGTAAAACAGCGTGTTAAACGTGCTTGTACAGTGCTTGCCTTGCAGGTCTCTGGTTTCTGTCACTGTTTTCCCCACGAATATGGGAAGTACAATCATTTAAAAGGGAACACATGCTGGATTTGATAGAAGACTAAAAGTGAATAACAGTATATAAAGCAAAAAGCCACAACCTGTGAAAATTCTGCCTCCTTCTTAAGGACAATTGAGGCTGTGCTTTGTTAGATGCCTTCTGTCCTTGTGCTTGATGTCTCCACTTCCAAGAATTGCAAGTGGATGCTTATAAATGGTTGCCATTTTGCACAATAAAATTGTAAAACAATTTCTTTCAGGTACAAAGCTCAGGGGATAAGTGCAAAGAAATCCATTGACTCCACGTTCTATCTTCTGCTAGACTTAATCACGTTTTTCGATGAATATCACGCTGGTCACATTGACAGGGCCTTTGATGTAAGTTTCAAGAGTTCTGTTTGAAGTGCAGCCTTCCTAATGCCCTTGAAAGCCCAGAATGTCTCAAATAACATCACTTAGTGTAAAAAATTATATTTGATGAGTTAGAAGGTGCTGCAATGCTATAGGAATTCAAAAATGTGTTTCTTTCCTGTTGCTCGATAATCAAGGAGGTCTTTCTGGAGCTATTTTGTAGTCATTGAACAAAATAGTTCTGCTGCTCAACAAAGTGAAGAGATAAACCACTAAATAACAATGAAATGATTTCTCTTGAATCAGGAGCATTTCATTAACACTTCAAAAATATAGTTTATTAGTATTCAGTACATAGAACATTGATTATCTACCCTGACTCCCGTTTTTCTTTTTGAAGATTATTGAGCGCCTAAAGCTTGTACCTCTTAGCCAAGATTGCGTAGAGGAGAGAGTCGCTGCCTTCCGGAATTTCAGCGATGAAGTAAGTAATGTCTCTTGGTTCTAGCTTCCAAAAGCCTTTTGCTTTGTTAAAAGGATTTGAAAACCTTGTCATCTCATTATTCTTATTCTTTAATGGGGAAATAGGATGTAATTGTTTTGCATTCATACAAGTAGACTCTTGGCTTGCAACTTTTTCTCCTCGGTGCCGTTCTTTGGAGCGCTAGAATTCCCTGCCCAGAAATCCTGTCTCCATTTTGCAGAAGGCGTCTGCAGATCTGAATCTTTCTGAATTTACTGAGTTTGATTCAAGAATTTAGAATATTGAGAACTTTGAACTGTGCTGCTGTGTTAGTTCTTCCATGCTCTTTGTAGGTTCTTGTGTTTCCTTCCCTCTGATTAGAGGAGCTCAGGTATTTGGCTATTAGCAGATGCAGCATGTGAAGCTTAACAGAAGTCTGTTATTGCTCTTGAACTGTTTTAACTGGAGGGTAATGCTTCTCTTTTAGACAGTGTTTCTGTGTATTTGGGTGCTTTGGAGTTTTTTTGTTTGTATTCAGGGACTTTGGGTTTTATCTGAACTGTTGCTGTCAAATATAAAGGTGCAGCCATTATGCATGTCTGTCCCAAAACTCTGTAATGCTTTTTGCCAGATGATGCAGTTGTGGCAGAGGTAACCATTACATGTATGACTGTTATATGAGTAAATATCAACCATTGCTATCATTGCTTGGTTTTCTGATGTCGTATAGCAAAGGTAATGATTCCGTCAACCTGCTCTTCATTACAATATATCTTTTCTTTTTCCCCTTTTTTGTGTAGATCAGACACAATTTATCTGAGGTCCTGCTTGCAACCATGAATATTCTATTCACCCAGTATAAGAGGATGAAAGGCACAAGCCCAGCCACTCCTGCCAGACCCCAGCGGGTAATGGAAGACAGAGATTCGGTAAGACTGTAATCCTCTCTGGCCGACAAGTTTTCCTACTTCCTTTACCCCTGATTTCAAGGGATTGGGCTTCAAATAACTGTGAATCTCAAATGGTCTTTGCTTTTGACTTGCTCAGTTACTTAGAGTCTTGGACTATTCAGCTCGCGCAGTTGCTTAGTCTTGAGACTAGTCTCTTATAACTTCAGCTTTGTGTAAAGAAAGGATATTGCTCTAAACAGCATTGAGCTAATTAGGATATATTACACTATATATCCACCTAGCAAGAGAAAACAAGTGTTCAGTTTGCTTCTTGGTGGAATCTTAAATAGAACGGATGTGGACAGTGCAGTGTCTTTAGGATGGTTGCTGTTGCTGCCTCGACAATTGAGCTGTTGTTTTTCAAGAACCTGATCTCGACTCCATTTTATTTGAGTTCATGCAAAACTGATATCTGGTGGAAAGGCTTTCCTTGAGGCCTCTTCTCGACATGCTTCTGTAGGGATGTGGGCCGACACTTTCAAAGCGTCCTTGGGCAACACACCAAGAGATGCTCAAGTAGATTTGCTTGATGAATGGCTGTAGCAGTTTGCTGGTGGTGTTTGCTGCCCCTGCAGCAGAGTGGGCAGCTTCCAGGTGTGGTGGTGCTTGGTCTGGCTGCCTTGTTTAAATGGCTGACAACAGCGGGTTTGACTTCACCGCTAGAGCTGGTGCTGAAGCGTTTCCCCCATCCACTGATAGGAGCCTACGCCTTCCACAAGCCCCAAAATAGGCGCCACTTGAAGGGCGCAGCCAGATTTGCGGGCACTCACCTGTCAACATGCTGTGTTCAGCAGAAAGGTTCTCTGCTTAGCTGTCATCAGGTCTGGTCTTGTAGTTCTCATTAACTTAAAGCTGCCACAGGCACTTGAAAAGCAAGGCTGAATCACTCATCCCATCTTACAGATTAGGAGATAAATATCAACTCCTTTTGAGAATGAAAACCAACTTGGGCCACAGCCAGCTTTGTTTCAGGCTTTAGTCACCTGCAAAAGTGCCTTTGATCTGTAAATTGCGATATTGGTAAAAGTCTTAGTAGCTTTTTTAAATTACATCAGAAGGTGAAAGGCTCAAGTAATGATACAGCTTTTGTCTTTGGGGTACAGTCTGTGTGTGAGCTATGGGATCCTGCCTTGCCAGCTACGCTGGTACTCTAGATCGGCAACACTGGAGAAGGATGCATGCTGTTTGGGATTCTCCCACCTTAAGTTCTGCACCTGCGAAGAAGAACCAGGCTAACGCAATCTGTTACCCGCTCTGTGTGTTCACAAGGTTGGCACTGAGCAAACAGCCTTAGCTCCTTGCTTTCCAAGTGAGCTGTTTATTTTGGTTTCGTGATTTCAGTTTTGTGCCTTATGTAGAAGCATTTACCACCTCCATAGGGGTGTAATGCTGTCAGGTGTCATCTCAGTATGAATATCGTGACCGTGGCCAACCAAAGATGATTGGGCCGATGGTGATGGGATCCGCAACTTTGCTGGCAGGAGTTTGTGTAGAAGGAAGCTACCATGACATCGTATCATATCAACAGCATGCTCAGTGTGAGCATGCTTCATAAACGTGCTCTGCACTATCATGCTGTTAAAGTTGTGGAGATCAGTTGATGATGTACTTTGCTAAAAACCCTTGAAAGTTTTCTTTTTTTTTTTTTTTAGGCTTCAAATTGTGTTAATCAAGCTTCTGGCCTTGTGGTGGTATCTCATGGCAGCAGGGTATCAGTGGTGTCAGAGACACAGGGTTTCCGAGTCGTGGATCTCTGTCTGCCGTGTGCAATAAAAGCTGTGCTTAACCATCAGAGGGGACAAGTGCCTGCTGTCTCTGCAGTCAGGGAGGTGATAAAGAGAATAGCTATGTGGCTGTAATGTGAGAAGGGAGCGTAAATCTGCTAACTTAGGGTTAGCTAGAGAGAAAAAAATCTACAGCCCTGTAGCTCCCGGCTGCCTAAAGATCTGCATGCGCAGAAGAATACCAGGAACGGGCACACGGAAGGTAGGGCAAGAATAGCTCTAGCCCGTGTTCCCCTTTTTTCTTACCCTGAAGAATTTCCCGCAAGACTGCGGGAGCAGGGAATCTATATCGCTGCAGTTTTCTTGTCTGGGAAGCAACTTGGGGGATTTTAGTGGTGGGAAGAAATGAGGGCATCTCAGATGTGAGGAGAGGGGTGTTTCTTCAGCAAAATCTCCCTGTTCACTTGAACAGAGATGGCAGATATGTGCTTCTGCAGGCTGTGCTTGGCAAGAATTTTTCTTTTGAACTTCCCTGGGAGAAAGGCAGCTTTTCCTTTTTCCACAGGGAAGCAAATTTTAGGGGAAATCGGGCTCTTCCAGAAGCTTTAACAATCTCAGTGTGTTGCCCAGCAGACAGTGCAAGCAAAAAGTGACCTTTCCTTGAATAGGTCTTTGAAATCCCTGGATTTTCTCTAGCTCCATTGGAGCAGAGAGGTTGAAATCCCTCGGTTCATCAGAAGAATTTGAAAACACAAGATAGTAGCTGTTCACAAGTCTGAGGCTTATTCCACATAACAGGGAACAGAGTCCCCCAGAGCAGGAACACACGGCTCTTGAATTTGCCCTCTGGTCTGCTGACCACCCTGAGCGGGATCCTCGGGGAGTAGAGGGGTTTTGTCAGGAACAATGTGGACCCGGCAGCAAGGGTAGGATGGAGAGGAATAGTACCTCTGGAGCCCCCTGAACCCAGTAATGCTCTCTGCTAGAATGTCTCCTGTCCCCTGTGGGAGATGAAATGGGCTTTATTTAGAAATGATCAGGTTTGGAGTCGGAGCTGGAGTTTTATGCATTTTGTTTATTTCAGAATTAAATTACCTAAGCTGTGTTTTGAGTCTCTTATTTTTTTAATGTATATACATTAATTAGTTTTGGGAATGAGGGAGCAAAGTCCTGTCCCACTTGGCCTGATCCATTTTGTCAGATTTCAGGCAGAGACTGCAGTGAGCCCGGACTGCAGTGCCAGAAACCATGGCTGCAGTGACAGCCCTGACCCAGATGCCATGAGGGCATGACAGCAATGTCATATGCTCCCCGCCCCGATCCGGGGTGGCGAACTCTCTAGAGCAGCCCAAGGGCATTATCTTGGCAGCAAAATTAGGTCATGAAAGGAATGGAATTCTTCTTTTAATTTATTTATTTGTGGTCTTATTTTAAATTGCAAGGACTCTAACATTCACTAAGTAATTACAGCCAATAGAACATCTAGACCTCCAGGCCGCTCTTAACCTCTGCAAACTTCTGTTCCTTCTTCCTGAAGTATTGCAATCTATCATGTTTTGATTTTAAAAATAGACCAGCTCTAGTGTCATTGCTGGCAAAAAGGTAAAGGGAACAACAACTCGCACTGCTCCTCAGCCTTTCTTAGTCACAGTGAGAGTTTTTCCTCTTAATATTTTCATTCCAACGAGTCGTACACCCTGACATGCTTTTTTTTCACCTGTCACCTGTTTTGACCTCCACTGAAAAGTAGCAGGTCAAACATAATTACACGACCTCGCTGTGTAACATGTGGAAGAAGACTAGAAGTGTTGACTGTGACTGGAACTGAACGAGTAATTTCCAGGCCGCCTTGTTAAGTAGCCAATGCCTTGGTGTTAACTAGGTGGTACCTTACAGCTGGGGGGAACTGTCCTGGGAGGTTTTAGCAGTTGGGCCACTCTCAGTTTTGCTGCCTACTCCGACGGCCCGCTGATGTGCTGTGCTGGCTGTGCCCTTTGCAGTTCCAGGTAGTCATCCGTCCAGCCAGACTGGAATACAGCGCAAGATGGGAACTCTGCTCTGTGTTTCAGCCAGGCCACTGGGCTTTGTAGACAGTCACGGTTTTCCTTCAGACAGGAGAATGGAAACGGAAAATTAAATGGCTGTGATCTCAGTGCTAAATAAAACTTACTTTCCTGCCCTGTGTGTAAAGTTGACGGTTCTTTGCACAGCTGAAGCAGTAGCATTTAGACAATGGCTTGAAACAAACAGATGAGCATCTTGGCTTTTCCATTATCAGCTTCCAAAGCTCTTCTGCCGCCATTGAACAACCGGCTGGTTGAACATCACCCTGGAAAAGGGGTAGAATTTCCCAGATGGGCATCGGGGATGGCGTTTATAACTGTTCCCAGCTATGTCATGGGCTTCGGTCGCTTCTCAGTTTGTAAGTTCCTGCTGTCAGGCTTACCATCCACGTGCCCACAGCAACCAAAGCTGCTTCAGCTTTCCCTGCAGTCAGTAGATTAAAGGAAGATTTGAACAGTGGGATTTTCTAGTACAGTAATTTAGAGATGCTTAATATTTAATAAAAAAAACACTGTGAGCAATCAAAACAATCAGTCTGCACAGTTTCCCATAAAGGATCGGGCTTTCTGTATTCTCCTGACCTCTACCAGTTAGCAGGATGATTTTCCTTTTAATTTACTAATAGTTTTAACAAATTAAATCATTCCTGAATCCCTTCAGCTGTTATGTAGCCTTCTGGTGTGCAGGAAGGAGTTTGGTTGCTTTGGGCAAAGGTCTCTGAATGTACTCGATACATCTGCTTTCATTGTGTTAGGGAATGAAGAGCCTTTAAGGTTGTCGGTGATGCTGGAGACCTCCAGGTGCATGTGGCACCGCTGGTTTGTTTCTAGGGCTTCTGCTTTGAAAATGTTAATGCTGCATTTCCACAGGGCCAACTTTGTATTTTGCAAGGTGAGAAAGAATTCTGCTGCCCTGGGAAAACCCACTTCATGCAGAAATTACGAGATTGCTGCAGTACAGCAATGCCCCACATTGTTGAAAATGCTTTTTTGTTGGCTAATTTTAAGTAAATGGAGTGGGGTTTTTTTAAGCAAAATGGTAACTCGACATGATTTTAATGTTTGGAAAAGGAAATAATTGGATTTCCCTCCAAACGCAGATACACATTATCCAGAGAGCTGCTCTGAGAAATAAAGATTACATTTGCTTGTTTGAAAAGGCAAGTGTTTAACTCATGTCTCAGCTTTCATTGTGAGGGTTTTTTGATATTAAAGTAACTATACTTTCTTTTTTTTTTTTTTTAGCAACTTCGATCTCAGGCTCGTGCACTGATAACGTTTGCTGGAATGATCCCTTACAGAACATCGGGAGACACGAATGCAAGACTGGTGCAGATGGAGGTCCTTATGAATTAGCAGAGAAGCTTTTACGTAGGGTTGCAGCAACCTGTGCCCATCTTTAGTACGTTCAGAGGGTGGGACCAGGATCATTTTGTATTCTGTATTTTTGTTGATGGAAATAAATTTCTTTGATTTCTATTTGTTTTTGACATTTTCATTTTCACTGATTTTTGCCGTTTTATGTTCTTATTAATTTTATTTTAAATTGGTTTATATTTAGAAAATTATTCTTAATTATTTAATGGGCTATGCAGAGAAGGAAGTCATAGCTTGGCAGTAGGGAGGTGAGCAAGCAATTCTATAGCAGAAGAGGAAGTGGAGAAGAAAACTTTGATTTTAATGCTTGCTGAACGTACAGCTTGGAAATGTTAGACGTTTTTGTTTTCTGAATGCATGTTAAATATTGAAAATCTGTTTATGATACACCACACACGTGACACACTACTGTCAGTCCCTAACGTTGACTTGTGTGGTGTATGTTTTTATGCGGTGCCGATGAGCTCTGTGTGCTGCAGAGACTCTTTTACGCTTAACGAGGTTTAAACTCTTGGCTCTGTGTCTCAGATGTACACGGCTCTGCAAATCCTGGAGCTCCGCTGAAGCCTTTGTAGGAGCTGCTGGGATTGGAAACGGGCATAGTTTCGTAGGAGAGACTTTTTGTGATCGATACGTGAGTTTTTAGCCAGTTGCATTCACAATGATCCCATGTAGAGTTCACCAGAACAAGCGAGGAAGCTGTGACCAGAGAAGTCCGAGTGTATGCGTTGGGCGTGGGTGGATATTACTGCTGGTTTAGTGGGAAACCTGAGCCCCACTGACGCGAGGGGTGTTAAAAAATGCTCAGCTTTAAATGTTTTGAGCTACAATTAAATTGGTGTGAAAGCCCAGGGAGCATGTTATAGTATAAGCTTTTTTCTTTAATATAGCTGCCTATCTTTGAAATGAAATGGGAGGAACATTGGTGGTTACTCCTATTGCTCCCTGCAACATGCCTTTCTGCACTGCTGCTGTCTTGCCCTCATGTCGTTTGTGTTACTGGGATATGGAGAACATGTGTGGTTCTGGATGCAGAACAGGCAACAAGACTTTGCAGGGGCTGATTTCAGCCTTTGCATGTTAATAGCTCTCGTGGGAGAGAATTAATCTCCATTTCACAATGCCTGCGTTTAATGGCATAGAAGGATATTTGACTGACTTGATGACAATTGCCTAATTGCTTTTTCCACCAGAAGTGTTGGCATAAATTTTGTCAACCTTTTGGGACAGGGAGCAAAGGGATGGCGTGCCAAGCCACCCAAAACCATGTGTCTCAGCATTAGCAAACTGGCTGCTGGGGCTCCCGGCCGATACAGGTAGGGATTGTGTGTGGCACTGGGTGGTCCTGTGACGTGTCCAGGATTGCTTCAGCTGAAGGCTGAGAGACACCTGGACATCACCCTGCAAGCAACGGGGCTTTGGTGAGTTACCAAGGAGTTATTTGGGCTGGGGGTGGTGCAACTGAATTGCCTAACAAAATGTCAACAGGAGAGTGTGGAAGGCTTTATTAGGTTATTAACGTGTCTGGCATATTCATGTGTGAATGCTTCTTGGTATGCCTCAGGTGAAAATGCATCCAATGCCCTAGAGAGCAGCTTACCAAAGAGTAGGTGGCAGAGCAAGGTGTCTTTCTTGACACTTGCGCAGGGTGCCGGTGGGACCAGGACTGCCCCACGTACGGTCCTGCACGGTAAACCCTGCTCCCGTGCTTTTCCTGCTGGCGCTCAGCCCCTGTCCCTAGTTACTCCTAACATCAAACCACCTCACGTACAGAGAGGCTGGCGAGTCTGTACCTGTCCTCAGGCAACCACTGACCCGAGCCAGAGAGGGGCAGCGTCTGCCGGAGCCTATATTTGGGAAGGGTGAAGGCCACCTTCCCCGCTGTAATTCCCTCTGCCCCTTCCACCCATCACACAGCGACTGAAGTCCTTTGGGGCTCAGCTCTTACCGCTGCCATTTGCAGCACCTTGTTCTCCTGTCTTTTGCCTGTCCCCTGCTCAGCTGAGCTATCATGCTGCCTCACCGGCGTGTTTCTGATGTCAAACGTTGAACCTGGGGACCTTTTTAAAACAGCAAGTTACCCTTTTTCTGTTTGCCCTTTGAGGATGGCTGTAGTAGGTGCTTGCCAGTGCTTCTCAGCCTTCATGGGTGTTAATAAAAGAGAAAATTGATGGCTGTGTGTAGTTTGCTCCCTCTGTGCTCAGTGGTTGTGATTCCAGGCTCTGGTCCCTTCTAAGCTAAGCGGAAACTGAAATATTTCGTACTTTGGAAAAGCCAAGGTGGTCTTTCTCTGGTGCACAGACAGAGGACACAAACCTCAGGGAGTCAGAGCCCTGGGACTAGCCCTAGAAAGTTAAGGCCAGCCCTGTTTTGGACAAGACATGAGATGATGTGGGTATAACAGAAAGTGCCACAGGCAATTAAATTATTTCTTGCTGATCGCCCTGTGATTTCTTCTTGCTCCTGTGCAGGTTGTGAATGTTGCAGCCCATCCGTCTTCCCACATTCCCGAGAGCGGTGGGTTCCAGCTCCATGCCGAGGCTTGGCTTTGGCAAACCTGTCTCTCCTCTGCACAACTTTAAGGGCTTTGCTGTATTGAGGTAGATGCTGACGCACGTACTGGCGCTTTGCTGAATAAGGCACCCCCGTGGTTTTCCAGATGTCGCTGGTTTCTCTCCACCTCACGTTTATTCTGCTGGAGAGAACAACCTGGTTCTGCTCCCTTGGGTTTCTGACCAGCAGACCTGCTGCTGCCGGAGCGAAGTTCATAACCCTTTGTACCTTCGCACTCAGAATGCGCAGGCTTAGCCTTGGTTTTCTAAACATTTCATCTGTTAGAAGGGCTTTTTGGGATGTCACTCCTGACGTTGTGTCTGGAGCAGCTTGCTCAAAGCTAGTGTCGCCCAGCGCTCCCTTTACAACAGAGAGTAATGCTCGCTTTTACAGCGTGGCACCGTCAAGGGCATAGTGAGAGCTCCCTCTGCGTGTCGCGCACAAAGGGCTTCCGCCTGCTTGGCCAGCCTCACACCGCTCAAACTGAAAATCGTGACAACGTGTGGCGTGACTGAGCAAGTTTATGCTTTGCCAGGCAGAGTTTGCAGCAGAGCTGCAGATGTTTATCCGAGCCGCATTTATTCTTAGTATAAACTGACAAATCTTCTCTAAGTCGGTGGAGCTTTACCGCTTTGTACAAGAAAAAAGTACAGGTGAATGCTGCAGATTAAATTTAGGATATTTCCATCTGCTTTTTCCTACTCCGGGACTGATGCTCAGCAGTAAAGATCCTCCAGGTGTAGATGAGAGGCATCCTAAGGGTGGCTCGCTGCTTGGAGTCAAATTCAGCTCATGCTTGTGTTGCTAGAGAAGATTTGAGGAAAGAGCGAAAAGGCGTTTGCCTTGGGAGCGTGTCACGTTCTGTCCCGGCATGGGGGCAACTGCAATGTGCAGGCGCATCCTGGTCCCGCTTTCCACGGTTCGCATGGCTCATCGGTAGTGAAACATCCACGAGTGCTGCGGTATCGGCATGGGAGCTCGGAATGCTTTATATTCTGCACGTCCTTCAAACGAGGTCTGAGTTGATGTGGTCTGGGTTTAAGGGGGAGTTGCAGGGGAAGCTAGAAGTACTTACTGTAAACTTCTGCCCCATGTTACCTGTCCAATGCGGGGGGAAAAAACCAAGTCAAAGCCCTGCCCAGGGGTTAACCGTGGGCTACTGGTAAAAACGAAACTGAGCTAATGGAAGATAACCAGCTCTTGTGAGAATTTAACAGGTGCTGACAACAGAAAACCTGCTGAACCGTGCCTCGAGGGCCCCTCCTAAGCACTGCCGTGGAGCTGGGGTCAGCAGGTCCTGTCTTCTCGGCTCTGTTTCTTCGGTCTTTGTGTGTTGGGTTTTTTGTTTTTGTTTTTCTACTCCCCCAACAACATTAATTCTTCGAAGTGTTTTCACAGGGGTGCCTGTGCTGTTGGCTCAGCTGATTGCCCAGTCGGCTTACTGCCTGCAGCCTGTGAGATACGTTCCTACTCCTCTGCCTTTTCTTGGATGTCCCTGCTGACTGCAGATGCTGCATCTCAATCCTGATTTTGTTTTGTTTTCCAGACGAATGCTAAAAGAGGTGGCTCCTCTGTTCTTCTAACGCCGCTGCACTTGGACCTTGTTCCTTGCAGGAGCCGAAGGAATTATCTTCAGAAAGAATGAATTTAATGATTTTGTTTGTTTCTGTTCTTGTTATGCTTTCAACACTTGTCTCCCCAAACTTAATAAGCCCCAGCCTCTCAAAGCAGCAAGCTGTTTTCTTTCCAGGCTGGAGTAAAGAAAGGGACGTTTTTAATTCCAGTTCTGTGTCCCTGGGGTGGGACAGCGCTCAAATACTGCCAGTGTTCATGTCCCTGTACTGGCATTTTTGTCCTGTTTCTGTCTGGGTCTAAAGTTGGAAGGGATGGAAGTACTGTCTGGAGGAGGATGGGAGGTGATCCCGTTTGCCCCGTTGGGTAAGGTTGCTGGCAGTGGCCTGAATAACCACCTATTTTTCTCTTCCCAGGCTTCCTTCCCTGCGGTGCCAAGAAATGAGTTCCGTTCCACGCAGCAGCTTTGCAGCGCTGAGCCCCTGTGTCGTTCACGTGGCTCGTGTCATCCAGGGCGGTAGGTTCCCTCTTCCACAGGGATGGAAACAGGACAATAAAACTTCATTGAAGTCAGAATATAGCACTTTGGCGAACTTTAAAAGAAGCCGTGTGTAAAGCATTGCACCATTCTCTGCCTAACTTGATTCGGGTTCGTTTGATGCATTTAATAGCCATAGTGGACCGGGGGAGCGGCTGGAAGCAAGGGGAAGCCCTGCAGAAGCAACGTGGCACCTCTTCGCTGCCTGAGCGGAGGGCTTGGAGGGACGTGCCACGGAGCTCTCCCTTCCTGCTCGCGGCTCCCAGCGCCGGACGGCCCCGGTATTGTTGCTGCAGCTGGTGTTGTGAATCAGGCCGACGACAAGCGCATCCTACTATCCGGCTATTTCACTACACCAGGGTTGCATCATACCACTCGCTTCGCTCTTCATCCGGCGTCTGGAGTCCTCCTGTCTCTCCTGGAGGTTCTTTGACCACGC